CGTACATTATTTGGAAAGTAAAAAGCAAATTCAATGAGGGAGTAAAAAGGATATACTTTAGTATGATTGTTTTTTTGCATTTTGATTGGTTACTTTATCAAAGAGTTGTTTTTGTCTTGGTTGACGTGTCACTTCCTTTCGTCCTACTCAACTTTGTTAACTTTTTTTTTTGTTTGTTCCAAAACTTTTACCACTTTCTTTTTAAACAAATGAATTTGTGATTCAGGTTGTTCCTTCCTCTGTACAAACTTCAACTACACATTTTTTATTTTTTCTTATTTCTCACTAATTTGAAGTTGACAAAGTCCACCGGGAAAAAGGTACTTTACATGTAACCATGAGGTAGTATGTCGTATAGCCGACAGTACGACTTACACTGTGGGTGATATTTTCGTGATTTGGGTGAAAAATTGCGACTTCTTCTAATCTAGCATCAATGCATTTTTATTGAGTATCACACCTATTCTATTTAGGCCTGAAGTCGGGATGGGCCGGCTAGGCCCCGGGCGGGCTTCAGGATTTAGGATTACAAGCCCGATACTAGGGATGGACCCGGGCCGGTCCGGTTCTGGTTCCGGGCTGAGCCCGTGCGGGCTTTTTTTGTAGAAACATGGGCCCGGAACCGGCCCGGGGTGATACCGGGTCGGGCCTACCCGGCCGAGTAGTGGGCCGGTTCGGGCCGGGCCCATGCTATTTAATTTTTTTGGTTTAAATATTAAATTAAGATTACTTGGACATAAAAAATTTAAAATATATTTATTTGAAATATGTAGTACAATTGGAAATTGAGCAAAATATAAAACATGAAATACACTTTTTAATATATAAGAATCAATCGGAATTTGAAAATATCAATCGAAATACACTTTTTACCCATATCTACAGAAGCTCTAGCACGTTTCATATTAAAAATATAACAAATATTAAATTCGAAGTACAATTAAACTAGTGAATTTGAAATACAAATCTACCAATTCGAAATACAATTAAATTCGAACTATGCAACTACAATGTAATCTACCAACTACAATTAAATAATAATGCAAACAAGTTTAACAATTAACTAGTTTTAATAACAATTAATGTTGGTCCCGGTTGTACTGGATACAGTCTAGAGGGGGGGTGAATAGACTGTATTGGTTTTTAACTTTTTCAAGCTAAGTACCAGATTTAACAGAATAGCATGTTATGCTGGCAGAACAGACTGGCAGCGGATGGGGTTCTGGTAGGGAGTTCTGTTAGTAGCCTCAGAGAAGCAAAGGCGGTAGGCCTTCTGTTAACTCACAAGACAAGTTCTGCTGAACACAGATACCAAGTCTTTAGAGTTAAACAGTTCAAATTAAAACAATGAATGTAATGCAGTAAGTAAATGACACCAGGGCTTTTTATAGTGGTTCAAGGAACAACTTGTTCATCTAGTCCACTGTTCCACTAAGCTTATAAAAACGTCCGTTTACAATGCCTTAGCCCTATCACTTAAGAAGCTCTCCACGTCTTCTTCAAGTGTAGATGTCTTCTTGGATGCACTTCCGGCTTCCCTAAGACTGGTCCTTTCACTGAGCTTTCCCAGAAGTATCACCACTTCACTGCTCCAGGTACTTGGACGTCCTTCTTGTGAAAGAAGAGGTTCTATTTAGAACCGAGGTTCCTCCAACTTGCTTCGTTACAAAGAGTTTGTATGTGATGAGCTTGAAGAGTTGAAGAACACTTAGAACTTTGCTTGAGTTGGAAATAAGGATTTTTCCAACTTCTGCCTTCTCTTGTAGAAGATGATGAAATTTTAATCTCAAGGAGACTTTTTGCGTTTTTAGCGTTTGAATATCTTGTATGCAGAGTTGTAGCAAAAGTTATATCAAAGTTTTCCGGTTGTTCTTCGTAGTGTATCTTTTATACTGAGGTTGTCTTCCCGTTGGAGGAGAAGGAGGACAACTGCATTAAATGAGCGGGCAGTTGACTTGACCAGTAGGACCTGGTAAAGTTGGCGGGTTACTATTTTGGGATAAGGTAATCCTGACATTGCGGCCAATCATCTGCAATTACTCTACAAAGTACGGGAGGCATTAAATGTGCATTTAATGCGCGTATTGTAGCTTTTCCGTTCAAGACTCCTAGCCGTTGAAGGAATCTTTCAGTTGGTTTCCCGGCTTGGTGAAATTCTCCTAAGTGTCAGGCCTTCTGGTGTCTTTAGCAGAGAGTTGATCAGAGAAGGTCTTGAGCACTTCTGTTGAGAAGATATCCAACAGAGAACCAGGAGGGTTTCTGTCAGAGTAAAGGATAACATAGACCCTGAGGTCTTCTGTTCTAAAGCAGAGAACCAAAGGTCTTCTGTTCAACCAAAGTCTTAGAAAGGGTCTTCTGCTCTGGAGGCCTTCTGCTTAGTCGATTATACTAAAGAATTTTACAAAGGAAAATTCTAATACATTAAGTCTAAAGAGGGGTACTCTAAAGTCCTAATTAATCTAGCATCATCAAAATCTAATTACAAATATTCCTTACAATTAACTAGTTTTATAGGAGAATAATAAATGTAACAATTAACTAGTTTTATAGGAGAATAATAAACCTAACAATTAACTAGTTTTATAGGTGAATAATAAACTTTAACAATTAACTAAAATTCGAACTATTTATTTTACAATGTAACAACTTTATTTAACAAGTTTAACAATTAACTAGTTTTATAGGAGAATAATAAATGTAACAATTAACTAGTTTTATAGGAGAATAATAAAGTTTCACAATTAACTAAAATTCGAACTATTTGTTTTGAAATGTAACAACTTTATTTAACAAGTTTAACAATTAACTAGTTTTATAGGAGAATACCAAATGTAACAATTAACTAGTTTTATAGGAGAATAATAAATGTAACAATTAACTAGTTTAACAATTAATTTCGAATTAACTAGTTTAATAATTAATGGGAGTGTGAGAGTGTATAAGCAATTGGATAAGTAGGTATTAAGTGTATAAGTAGATATACTTAATATATATATATATATATATATATATATATATATATATATATATATATATATATATAGGGGATGGTTCAAATAAAAAGTGGTCTTAACGTGCAAAGTGTAAAGTTTGCACTTTTTCATTTTTCGCTTGCACTTTTTCTTGCTTTCGTTGCACTTTTTCGCAGGAGCTCAAAAAAATTGGTTTATTTACAAAACTGCCACCGTCATTTTGGCCGAATTTGGCCAAAATCAAAATGGCCAAAAAGTGCAACGCAAACAAGAAAAAGTGCAAGCGAAACATGAAAATGTGAAAACTTTGCACTTTGCACGGGAAGACCTCTTTTCATTTGAACTCTTCCCTATATATATATATATATATATATATATATATATATATATATATATATATATATATATATATATATATATATATATATATATATATATATATATAAGTAGATAATAAGTAGATTAACTAGTAATATATAATATTATGTTTATAGTATATATAATATAAGTATATTACTATAAGATGTAATAGTGAATTGTTCTCCTATAAAACTTGTTAATTGTTAAAGTTTATTACTCTCCTATAAAACTAGTTAATTGTTACATTTATTATTCTCCTATAAAACTAGTTAATTGTTACATTTATTATTCTCCTATAAAACTAGTTAATTGTTATTAAAACTAATTAATTGTTAAACTTGTTCGCATTATTATTTAATTGTAGTTGGTAGATTACATTGTAGTTGCATAGTTCGAATTTAATTGTATTTCGAATTGGAAGATTTGTATTTCAAATTCACTACTTATTATTCTCCTATAATAAGTATTATATACACTTATATATAATACTTTAATATATATAAGTATATATTAAGTATATGTAAATTGTAAATATAAGTAAATAAATTAGAGATAATTATATATGTAATATGTAAATATAAGTAAATAAATATAAGTAACAATAATATAATAATTAGAATTAATATAAGTAGATAATAAGTAGATAATAAATTTTATAAATATAATATATGTAGTTATAAATTTGAGAAGATGAAGATGGAAAAGATTAGTAGAGAATAGAGATTAGAGAGTAGGAATATTTGGAGAAGATGTGTAGTAAATTGTATAGAAAAAATGAAGTATTTATAGATTTTTTGTACCCTCACCCCCAACCCACCACGGGACCCCCTGGAAGGCTCCCAACGGCTATAGAGCCGTTTGGGTTGACTTACAACGGCTCTAAGGCCTATTTGGCTGGCCAAAGATTTTTTTTTAAACATTTAGCCGTTAGGCCCGGACCGGGCCCGAACCGACCGGGCCGGGCCGCCTATTCCATGAACCGTGCCCGAACCGCTCCCCCCCCCCCCTCGGGCCGGGTCAAAGCACGAACATCACAATACTTACCCGGGCCGGGCCGGACCCGCACAGTAGTTGGCCGGGCCGGTTCCGGGCCGGCCCGATTTGGTCCATCCCTACCCGATACCGGTTCCAGTCTGGACTTAGAAATATGTCTCTATTTTCCTTAATGAAATGGAGAAGAGACTTTTACTAATTTCCCAAATTTGGAAAACGCAGATGCTGCAGTTTCGTTGCAATGAATTTGCATACTTACGTCTAGTGGTGGATTTGGTCCAGCGCGAGTGTAAGTTCCGGTCCGATCAATGACCCGACGGTCCCTATGTGGTCCGCTCAACAATATGGCGGTCAGGTCCGGTCATTGACTCGGCGGTCCTTGTCCGATCTAGTCCGATCGACAACCCGACGGTCCCGATCCTGGCCGACTGATGGCCCAGTGGTCCATGTGCGGTCTGGTCCATGACCCGACAATCCTATCTTGTTCGGTTCATGACCCGGCAGTTCCTTTCATACTTTTCCACCATGCTTTCATACTTTATATACATTTATACACTATTCATTACTCCTACTATTCCACCCTAAAATTCCTTTCAAAAGTTTAATATTGCAAGTATTCATGGGACTAAAAAGGAGAAAAGGGATAAACTTCCTTTCACTAATGAACCATGACATGATCAAATTGCCAAATGCAAAAACTTGGGACTAAAATTTATCTTGTGTGAGTTTTTTGTTTGTTGGCTTGAAAAGGTAGTAATACCTTGAATATATTTGCAAAAAGTAGTGCAATAACATATATTCAGCGTCTCTACATTTGTACATACACTGAAAGACTGTCTCATCATGTTACAATAAACTGCACATACAACAGACAGGTCTTCCATCTCTTAGGTGTTCGGTAATGCACATGCTAATAAACTTAAATATGAGATTTAATGTTCCCCTGCATCTGTCCCACCGACTTGAGTAGTTTACCCGCCGAGTTCAAAAAAAACAAGATTACACTAAATAAGGCATCCCGACCTCCAAAAGAGCAGTGTGAGGTATATTCAGTGCAACCGTAGGCTCTCGGCAATTCTTGTCCAGAAAAACATAATTCATAATAAGGAATCGCTTGAAAAAGTTTGAACCTTTGCGTACCATCAAGTGTGACTTGCCCAAGAAATAGGCAGCCCCCTTTTCCCTGGCATCAACCAATTCCTGGAGCTCCATCCTCACAGCTGGATTTTCCTTGGGACTCTCCAAGGGCAAAACAAACCGGACTTTCCTTCTCCTCTTAGCAGGAGCAACCCCGCTCCCATGTGTATCTATCAGAGGGCTTCTTGGAGTCTCGATATCCCCCGAGACCTCATTTGTTGTTTCCTCAATGGTAGCCACAGGAATCAATGCATTTGTCCCATCAGGTCCTCCCAACATGATCATCCTTCCTTCTGGAGAGGCAATAATCTCCCGATGCACGTCATTACTTTCCTCCCTGGCAATGAATTCTCCTATGGAACTAATAACATGGTCTTCAAAATCATTTGTGTCCCTCATGGGGTCACAATATCCATACCGTACGATGCACCTGTATATTTTGTACCCCTTGTGCCCCACCCTGCCTATGAGGTATCTCTTGTTTTGGGGAATATGAGGAACCGGTAAAGGCTTGAATGAGACTAGGACCAAAAGTTCGTGAAAGGCAGGAATATTTGCGATGAAATGAGAGAAAAATGAAGGGATTCCTGTGACGACATCTGTATAGATAAAGCCAATGCCTGGGACTCTATTAACACCCAACCCAGGGCTAAGATCCGTTAACCAATCCAAGCTGACCTTGTTTTCTTTGTCGAACTCGTACTTCTTGACAGTGCCATAGTGCCATGAAAGCATTGTTGTCAGGAAGAGTGTGACGAGTAGGAGTATAGACCAGGTTCCCTTGGAAAAATTCATCAAGCTTGAGAACAGGTACATGGCTTCAATTGATCCAAATGCTAGCAGGAAGCACATAGAGAAGAATAGGCTTTTCTCCCAGGAGAGTGCAATTACAAGTGACATAAGACAGGAGGTGACTAACATCCCACAAATAACAGTTAAACCTGGCAGATAAATGAGGAGATTATTATGGTAGAATAGGAAGTCACTAAAAGAAGAGTGTTATCTAAAATTTCATTCAAAATCAAAATTCCGCGTCATTCTTTACGCAACTATATATGGCTAGGTCATAAAATTGATTAACACTGCATACTAATCGTCTAAAACTAATTTCCACTATACACTCCTGCAAGAATTTCTGAAAGGAGGATGAGTTGTGATAGTTGTTATACTCATATCCCATTCCATTCCATTTTCCTCTGTTCATATGAAGTTAATGTATCCTAGGTCATAATGTTGTCGATTTTCTTTTCTCAATGTGATCTTTGTATCCCTACAGAGCGTGACATAACATGAAGACACATTTGCACACCTGTAGCATTTGCAATGGCTCGCATATCCCTCAAGCCGAGTGTGATGCCCAAACTTAGAGCCATCAGAATCCAGGATACATCAGGAATGTAAACCTGCCCATATATCTCATCTGATGTGTGTATAACTTTTACCCTGGGGAAGCAGGCCAGTGCTTGACATTGGTTTATGATTGAATAAGTTGCCGTGATGGTTGCCTGGCTACCCACAAGGGACGCTACTAGGGATATTCCTGTGAAAGCGTGATGAAGATCTCCTGAAATTTCCAGGTGCTTCACAAGTCAGATGTAGAAAGTTATGGTCAAGGGTGGACCAGGGGAATGGGGCTGCCAACCACTCATTTTTTCCCAAAATGAGTCGATATATATATATATATATATATATAAATTCACATATAAAGTCTACTCTTCTTATTTTCAAGGACACGTTGAATCATCCAATACCGGTGTGTTAAGTCCTCTGCCGATATTGCCCCTACAGGACTAGGGGAATAAGAACATAGGTGGCAAAGTTGGAATAAGGTAGGCAAAGTTTGGACCTCCCACCAAGAGGTTATTCGATATTGTGCTTTGCCTCCTCTCCACACGCCTTGTGGCGAGCTACAAAGGAATGCCAGGGTGAGCAGTTACACCTTTTGGGCTTTTGGAACACAAGTAGAAAGCTAGCTAGGAGGAATAAAAAGGGTACACATTAATAAGTGGTAGAACTTACTACTGTGTGGTACGGATTCACTAAGATGCATAACATTAGATGATGCACCTAAATGCGTGGAGATATATGCAGCTTGACCAGCATAGCATATTACCAGGACAGGATATATTATTAGGGCAAATGTTGCCTGCATTATCCAAAAGTTTATCATAAAAAACAATATACATAATGCATCCCGTCTCACCCCAAACTACCCTCATCCCAACTCTTGCATTACATTTTTGTCCATACCTGGACGGATTTCTTTGAAAAATGCCCTAGATCAGCAAACATTGCTTCTGATCCTGAGGAATGGAGTTTATAAACATGTTAGGCAGTTGTGTTTCAAGTAACCACAACTTCTCACTTATGATGGATTATGCTGATATGAAAACATGACTAAGACAATTTCATAGAATGAGTCTTACCTGCAATGCATAACACAATGTTCCCTAAGATTTTCCAGCTTGTGATGTCTACATTCCTAAAGAACCTAAAAATGTACACAGGGGAGACTGAACAAAGGATGGTTGGGTAATGGAAAACGTTATATATGCCCATTGTGCTGATGAAAATAATCCATATGATCACAACCGGAGCAAAAAGAAAGCCAATTTTATGGGTCCCATGCTTTTGCAAAGTGAATAGGCAAACCAGTATGGCACAAGCTGAAGGGACTGGGATATCTGTAAATAAATATAACGATAAGGGTAACAAGTTAAGAAAACTTTTGACAAACCCAAACTATATCATGTTGTTGATAATACGACATAAGTTTGAGTGAACCTCTTCAACATAAATTAAAACTTTGAGTACCAAATTATTTTACCCACATTTTTTCAAATACTTGTCTATGGATTCTGCCTTTCCAGAAGAGATCGCTGTTAGAAAAGTGAAAACGGAATCACGATTTTCACATTCACTATACACTTTGCAAAGAAAACCAATTACTCTGATGTATACTTCTAATAAAGCTACTCCTTACTCTGGTGCAGTACTTTTGATATGGAACGTCTCATAGTTGAGGTAGCTGACAAAACTGAAGGGAAACACATTTTAACCTTAATACGGAGTAAAAATGTTGATAACGTGTCTATAGTAACTACAGGATGTGTGAGACAAACCAGAAATTGAAGGAGTTAGAACTCCATCACAGATGATTAAACAAGAGCCAACCAGAGCCAGAAGCAGCAGCAAATAGTGACTGCTTTTATGCTTCTCAAGTGCCCATCTTGCTCTAGTTCTCATTTTGATCCTGGATGATGCAGTTTCCACATGATGCATAGTCTCAGCAGCACTTTTATCACATGGAAGCAGCCCTACTTTGGCATTCCTACACAGCAAAGAATACAATGCAAAAGTACCACCTGCAATCACTCACACCAAGAACAACAACTGATAATTATAGAAAACGAAGAAAAATAAAAGAAAAGGCACAAAAAAGGCTTTTGTGAGATTTTAACCTTCCCCCTCATCGTCGGCATTCAAAACTACAAGCACATATTTTAACAAGGGGATGATAGTTAAGGTCCAGAAAGCAAAGGAAAAGAGCTCATATATATCTTCCTTTGATTTGATGTCATTTGGGTCAATGGATCCAAATGCATACAAGGGGGCGGTGGCCAGCCGGCCATATACCACTCCAAGGCTTTGAAATGACAGAATAATAGTACGTCTCCATGTCTCCTGCGATTTCACAAATACCAGACACACAACACTGATTATGTGATTCATGACAGCAAAACTATGGCAGTCTCAGGGAAATATGGTAGTTATCAAACAAAGACTAGAAAGACAAAACTATTGTTTTAGGCCAAGAATGATTGAAAACTATTAATCAAAGACTTAAAATACCATGGGCTTTTATTTTTTACTTAATTTTTATGTTAATTTGGAATAAATTTTCCTTCATGGAAAATTTATAAACTTAACAAATTAAACAACATTGACATTAATTATAATATAATAAATCGAAATACATGATATTTTAAATTTTAATGCAATGTTCGTCTATATTGACCGTTTTCATCTTCTTGATAGCCGACCGTTTTCACTGGCAGTAAAAATAAACTAATTGTGGACCCAAAAAAATATTCTGCGTATTTTTATATTTGAATTTGTATGCTCAAATATACTATCATAACACAACCTTACATAATTTTTAGAAAAAAACTCAAGCATTCAAGTTAGAACCACCAGGATAATCCATTCAATACTGCCCATCCATTGTGTATTTCAAAGTCATATGCCATGCCTTATCTTCTCTCTGCCACAGGCTCTCCCAACCAATTGAAAAAGAAAAAAGAAAAACAGCGAGATTATTCATAAAAACGAATCTTTTTATTTCACATGGGGCTTCAACAATTAATAGAAGCTGATATTGACATATCCACCCAAGTTTAGCAAGTATCGTCAAGTTTCAAGTATAATAACGCTATATCTAGTATCCAACTTTCTCCACAAGATGTGGCATCTGTAAACCAAACTTACAAACGGGTAGAAACCCATGGCCAAGTTACAATCTTTAACGGGGTAACAAGAATTCAGAAAGAAAGTCACATAGTCATTAACAGAAAAGTGCAAAAATTAAACATGGGTTTGATGAAAACTAATTGATCACCTTGTAGGAATGGTAAGAGCCGGCGCTAAGTGAAGGATCCATAGCCTGATTTTCTCGAATAATCTTGAACTTAGCCACCAATCCTACTAAAGTTTACCAAGTAAACGCACAAGCTTCAGACTAAAGCTGCAGACCGTAAAGACGACAAAAACTGGGGACAAGAAGATATACTACGTATTAATGTATAATGAATTAGAGAGACTCTTTATCTGCAAAAATAAATATTCTCTAAAATGTGAGTGCCTTGAATCCTTGGTGATGTACAAATGTCATGATGAAGGGAAGGGTAAAGGGTGGATCTTTTGTCACGTCGTTGTTTGGAGTAGTAGTCGCAATGATGAGAAACGTCTGAAAGTCAAGTGTATAAGTATATATACTCCGATGGAAAACACGCGGATAAATTGTTGAAATGTCCGAACCGTTTGCGGGGAGGTTTAGAATTTAGATGGGGTATAATAATAATTTGGGCAAGAATTACATTAAAAAAAATACATTCCATCCCGATTAAAAGTTTTTGAGCTTGTCTGTAAGACCGATACTTTCAATAAGAATATGAGAGTTCCGTTCCAACATTTATTAGTTGGGGAGTACTATCTACTTGTTCATGGTTCTCTTCTTATTTTTTATTAATGGTTCGATTCTCGGTTTCTAAAAAAAATATACACCTAAAATAATTACATATAATATTTAAAATTTTATGTATTTCTTATTAGTATTGATGGAGTATATGGGTCTAGGCCCCAGGACCCACATACTCAGAACAGAAAGCACAGTCACTACACGGTGCTCTCGTCGGCCGGAAGACCCCCGTCGGCCGAAGAGGGGCCGATCCAGAATATGATCTTGAGGCCAAGGAACCAGGGTGTCCTCGTCGACCGTGCCCTCGTCGGCCGTGCCCTCATCGGCCAGAAGCCCTCGTCGGCCACGGGAGACCCACAGAACCAGATTTTACACTTACTCATTTGTACAGTCCATTAGTGGCTTTGTATTCGGCCCAGTAGCGATCCAGTTGTAAATGGGCCTCCCAAGCCCAAGGCTTGGGAGCCCAGCCCGTATTTTCCCTATAAATACTTCCTCTGGAGGTAGTTATCAGGGTTACAAAATCATTCTATTGAAGCATATATTGCACTTCTTTCTCTAGCTCTCAATTCTCTCTAGATATATACTCTATCATTTGGTGCTTTCATTGAGAGCTAGAACAATCAAGTTACTCCCCCATTGAGAAGACGGTGCTGGCCATCGTCCATACGGTGAAGAAGCTGGGGCACTACTTCCAGACCCATGCTGTCCATGTGCTGACCCAGCAGCCCCTTGGCGCGCTCATGAGGAGCCCCGCTAGCTCCTCAAGGATGGTGAAATGGGCAATCTTCCTCAGTCAGTTTCAGATTGAAATCAAGCCAAGCCCATCCATCAAAGGGCAAGCTTTGGCCGACTTCGTCACCGAATGCACGGCAAGGGAGACAGCCGCTACCGCCCCCGGGCCAGAGCCCGATGACACATGGATCCTCTTCACCGACGGCTCGTCGGCCGCGAAATCATGCGGTGGCGGCGGCGTCCTCATATCCCCGGAAGGATTCAGAGCTTACTATGTCATCCGCTTCAACTTCAGGGTATCCAACAATGAAGCCGAGTATGAGGCCCTCCTCAGCGGCCTCAGACTCGCCGCCGGCCTCAGAGCCCGACACATCAAAATCAGGTGCGACTCCAAGCTGGTAGTGGGCCAGGTTGAGGGTACGTACGAAGCCAAGGAAGGCCGGATGAAGTAGTACAAACAAGCAGCAGAGGAGCTGCTGAAGGCGTTCGAAACCCACGAGATCACACAGATCCCAAGGGCCGAGAACGCCGAGGCCGACATCCTCTCCAAACTCAGCTCGGACACCCCGGAGCACATCTCCCAGCTAGCCAAGATCGAGGAGTTGAGCATGTCCAGCATCCATGCCAGCCCCGTCTTGTGCGTCCAACAATGACCGGAGGACTGGATCTCCGACATCATCACCTTCATCACGACGGGGAGCTGCCCCCGGACGAGGAGAGGGCCAAACTCGCCAAACTCAGGGCCCCAAGCTACACCATTGAAGATGGCAAACTCTACAAACGATCCTATAATGGCACTCTCCTCCGATGCCTGCACCAGGATGAGGCCGACGTGGCCATGGAAGAAGTTCATTGTGGTGTTTGCTCCTCGCACCAGGGCCCTTTCAGCATGTCCCGGTGTCTCGTCGTCCAGGGCTTCTTCTGGCCGACGATGGCGCGAGACTGTGCGGATCTGACCAGGAAGTGTACCACGTGCCAGGTACTCCAGAAGGCCCCTGGTCGGCCAGCCGTCAACTACGCCCCCGTCACCACTGCTATTCCGTTCTCAAGGTGGGGGATTGACCTAGTCGACCCTCTGCCCAAAGCTGCCGGCAACAACCGCTACATCATCGTCGCAGTCGACTACTTCACTAAGTGGGTCGAAGCGGAACCCTTGGCCAGCATCACGGGGGCCAGGTGTCAGAAGTTCGTTCACAAGAACATTCTCACCCGCTTTGGTGTCCCCCAAGAGATCATATCTGACAACGGCACCCAGTTTGAAGCGGCACCCTTCCAAGAGCTCCTTCGAGAATGGGGGATAAAACACTGTTTCTCCTCCGTTGCCTACCCTCAAGGCAACGGGCAGGTTGAGAACGCCAATAGAACCATCATGGAAGGGCTGAAGAAGAACCTACAGGACGCAGGAGGGAGTTGGGTCGACGAGCTCCCCAACATCCTGTGGTGTTATCGTACCACGCCAAGGAGGGCGACGGGTGAAACAACTTTTGCCATGTGTTATGGCTTTGAAGCTAAGGCACCCACAGAGGTCACCATTCCCAGCCGACGAGTGGAGCAGTATGACCCAGAGGTTAATGAGGAAAACATGAAGATCGACCTCCACCTGGTCGAAGAAAGACGCGAGCAAGCATTCATCCGAGCAGAGAACTACCGGCGTCAAATAAAATCATACTATGACGCCAAGGTACGTTCCCGAGAATTCCAAGTGGGGGACTACGTCCTCCGCCGAAGGGAAGCAAGCCAGCTGATAGAAGGAGGCAAGTTAGCCTTGAAATACGAAGGTCCCTACATCGTCAGTGCCGTGGTGAAACCCGGCACCTACAAGCTTAAACGCCCAAACGGGACCAATGTACCACGAACGTGGAATGTACACCATTTGGTGAAGTTTTATCAATAATCCGAAGGTGCAGCCGGCGAAGCCCTCACCCTTTGATGGGTTATTGATTGAACGCCACCCTCGGCCTTGAGCCACTTTTGAATAAAAATCATATTTCCTTTGATTTATTGGAGTTCGACTTGAACATGAACAAAGTGCCCTCATCGGCCACCTTAGAGCGAAAGGCTCAGGCATGACCGATGTGGCGCTCTGCATCTGCAAACTTAGAGCGAAAAAGCTCGAGTATGCCCATTGTATTTTGTATCAGCAAAAGGTTTAGGCCAGCTGAGAGAGCACGTCGTATCGGCCCCTTGGAGCGAAAATGCACAGGCAGGACCGACGACGTCCCCAGGATGATGGGCCCGCAAACGGTCCGCGTTCACCGCGTCATCCACGCGCCTGATCGCAAGACGACAGGCCTGAAATCATGGCCGAGGTGACAAAATCCCAAAACTCAGGGATGGGCAACGACAGCCGTTGGAAACCAACCAAAAGTCTAGCCCGCGTCATAAATAGGCGACGAGACCCCCCCTGAGATCACGGACGCTATAAACGAAGTCCGAACCGGCCGAAGGGCCATCGACCCCTTTGGCCGAAGCCTGAAAGAAGGACACTCCCTGAAACGGGGAACAAAAAAAAAGAGGGAAGCCGACGGCCGTGCGCACTTGCCGGCCTCGAGCAGTAAAAATAAATCCCCACAAAACAGCCACATCTGGCTGAGTACATATCAGTTGAAAACAAAGGTAAACATTACCAACAGGCAATGTGGACGAAACGGCCACACACCACAAGGGAATTGTCAAGGACGAAGCATACGCCTATAAAACCCTAACCAGAGTGGTTGGGTGACACGCGAGTGGTAACCTTCATCGGCCATAGCCCTTTGAAGCACCAACACTTAGTATGAAATAAAGAATTACAATCCTGAAGATAACCACCGGAAAAATTGCCCAGGACGAAGCGGGCAGTATTACACCCGCGGAAGAGTTAAGCATTCAAGCAACAACCCCTACCGACCACAACATTCCGGATGGCCGTTACAGGCACTAAAACCCAGGCGGTTGGCCAAGCGGAAGATCTTTAGGAATATTTGTCCAAGTGTTTACCAAACACTTAGAGAAAATTCCTGAGGAAAAAGGTTCCTTAAGAGAATTCCGACACTTAGAGAAATTCTTGAGGAAAGCAAAAGGCACCCTTATCGGCCACAAAGCCATACCTTGGCCGATGAAGGCAGGGCCGTCTCTTGGCCGACAACGGTACCACACAGAAGGAACTATGTCTTGCATTTATACTTGGGAAAACCCAAGTATTTGGAGGGACAGCCTCTAGACGAAGCGGGCACTTGAATACTTGCAAGGCGTTAGCTACCTATGCCTTGCGTTTGTACTTATAAAAATTTCTATGATCAAAGAACTAAGTTCAAAGGACCCAAGGCAAGAAACAAAGACATGCAAGGCCGAAGGGGACAACAACCCCATGCACCCTTATCGGCCACAACACAAGGGACCAGGCCGACCTCTTGATCAGATGACGGAAAGGGGAACACAGCGGCCACGAAGAACATCGGGCCGACAACAACACCATGCGTGGCATATTGGTTCAACACTTAGGGAATTTCCCAAAGCATCTGTCAACAGTGAGGAGAGGCTCAACACCAGGACGATGAGAACACCCACCCACTTGAAGTCCGGACACTTAGAAGAATTCCCTAAGTCCCAAATCCAAAATACTTATACAAATTTTTGGGAAAAGAAGAAAGAACAGACAATAAGACGACAGAGATAGTACGAAACGTAAAGATGATTTCATTCAACTAGTCAGTACATGGTGGGCACTTTGGCCGTTACAATCAAATATTAGAAAACAAAAGGATGATCATGGCTCTGCGGCGGCCTCATCGGCAGCATGGCCCGCGACATCCTCCTCGGCCACATGCTCAGCACCAACTGCGATCTCAGGAGCCAGGTCGGCCTCGATAGCGGAAGTGGCGGTGTCGTCCAGGTAGTCGGCATCCTCGTAGTTTGGTTCGCCCAGGCCGGAACTCTCTATAGGCGCCTGCCTATCACACAAGGAAAGGTTGGCCTGTTCCTCCGGGTCCCTCATCAGCCGAGGAAGCCGTAGATTCCGCCTGACCCAACCCCAGGTATAGTTCAGGGTCCTGAGGGCGCGACTCAGCCGGCGGTAGATGAGCCTCTGCATCCGATGCTGGCCCATGT